CTCTCAATCTTTGATAATTATGTAATGCAGAAATGCTCTAGGTCTTTGAAGTAATTTGACTGAGTGAGTTTGGTATTTGGAAAACACAACTGTGGTAGCAGCTAATGTGTTGAGAAAAGCAATGCAGCATAGTACATGTGAATCTAAAACACTACCAATTAAACTCCAAGTTTGTAAGTTGTGTGCTTGAATTAATTACTTTCCACCTCAATGGGCATTTTTCTATGTAGCAGGGACTGCTCACTATTCCCTGCTCTCAACATGAAAATTTCTCTGTTTTACTTTCAGGAGTTTGGTGAGAATAAACTAAAATAGATGAAAACATACATTAAAAAAACTGTCCTAGGAGTGGTTTTTTTTTTTTTCATTTTAATTCTTTAAGATTATTGATAAAAGAAAAAATAAGTATCTTTCATTTTTAGACAATGAAATATCTTAATTGTGGCAGGTGCTTTTATTTTTAAAAAATGATCAAGAAACTCTTTATAACTTCCCAGATTATAAGTTCCCATTTCCCACACAAATCACTAGTATTTCATTAACTAAAACAAACAGCTCTTGTTACTGCTTATTGCTCTGTGATTTCTATGGTACATAGAGAATAAATAGGATGTTCATCATCAGTTTAACCACTGACAAAATATGCCAAGTAACCACACTAACAAGATTAGAACCACGCAGCATGACTGATTAATGAGATGGATATGAGGAATGGAAAAATAAAAGCATTGCTTTACAGACTTTAATATTTTGTTTTAAGACTCAATCATAACTGACTTTGCCTTCTGGTTAAAGTTAATTTGGTTTATTGATTGTTTACTTACCACTAACTCACAACATTTATTCTCTAGCCTTAGAGAAATGAAACACATGATCATATTGTCCAGACTTAATAAAGTGAATTTTATTGATTTTTCCTCTCATAGGACTCATCTGATTGAAAAATAATTAGAAATGGACTTTTTGAAATCTTTTTTAAGAAAGTGAGACAAATATAAAAAAGGAGAAAATATGATGGCTTTTACAACTACTACGCACAAAGATCTACATTGGAAAGCTCACCCGTGTGATAAATGATCATTCACATCTGCCTATTCTGTTATTACGAAACCAACTGAAAACAGCATTCAGTCAGCTTCCCAGAGCCTTGAGGGCAGGGGAGGTGTTTAGACTTGTGTTTGATAGATGATTTCAATAAAAAAAGATTTGTGAGCTTCTCGTAAGTCATAACAAACCGATAAAGTTTTAGTGAATGAGAATGAAAAAAAACTACTTCTTTTAAAACAGTGGTGTGGCATTGAGAGTACTTGGACATAGCTAAGATGCTACTAAAATCACTAGTGCTTTATTAGGGTCTCAAGGGAATGTCCTATTTTGAACAAGGCAAAGAAATATAAATTTTAGCTACTAAGCTGAGCCTTTGTTTCACTCCTCCCATAAACTGTTTACCAACTGTTGCTTTAGCAAGCTTTTACAGTAGACTATTGTGTTAACTTGCAATCTTGTTCCCTTGATTCTGCTTATTTGATAAAACATGCCAATGGTAATTCATTTTTGTTAGCATAAAACCACTGTGAAATTATTCTGTTTCACAGAAGGTGTCTGAAGACCTTTAACTATCTGGGGTCATGGACTGTTTTCCCTCAACAAATTGTATTTTTGTCATATTCTCCCTGCCTTGGGAATATGCTGACCTTTGAGTAGAAAGATTGATTATATGAGGGCATGAAGAGTACAATGAGAAGAGTTTGGAGAAAACTGAATAAAACATGTTAAAGGCCCTTTCTGCAGCAAAAGAAATGTTGGGTAGAGCATGAAGTACAATAACAAGGACATACTGGTACTGCACATTTTTACTTTCAATTCTGCCTTGATTTTTTTTAAGACATTGAATCTTCATAATACAACTGACATAAATTTCAACACTACATCTATACGTTGAATTTTAAAGAGAAACACTCAAATTCAGAACTCCTAAAGTCGTGTAGATTCTTGCTTACGGCTGGTAAGCCTCAGCCTCAGCCTGTACTTCTTGCCTAAACAACGTTGATAGAAAGCTCGGGTTGTACCTTCGGTGTAGTGAACATATATAAGAAATAAAGAGAACTTAAAAGCATGTTTGTTTCGTAAAAGCATCAACCATAATATATGAGGGATATCTGAGTATGATCTTCTATAATAAATGTGTATTATTTTAAAAAATCAGACAAAATAAACATTATTTTTTAAAAAAATCTCTGCAGACTTAATTAAAGCCTCATTAAAATGTTTCCCATTGTTTCATGATCCAGGACAACCTGGTAGGTAAAACTGTCACATAATGATGCTTTTTCGGTGTCTCTAATTACATCTTTTGAGACAGAATCTTAGATATGCTTGCCTTACACTACATTTTGTTCTACACAGAGTATGTGTAGACAAAGATGTTGCAGGTTAGTGTGTTTGTGAGTAAGCACAGACTGTGGCAACACTACATGGACTCACACAACTCACATTTCTATTTCAAATGCTAATTAATTTCCAATCAAGATTAATATTCTGGCAAAAACATTAATAGCTAGCAATTTTGGTGATAAAAATTTTAAAGAAAATTATATATATATATATTTCTTCTGGAGAAACAGAGTATTAGATACATCTGTGTAAAAAAAGAGTCACTGGCTTCCTTCGAACTTTTTTCTCCATGCTGGAGAGACCTACTACCTCCTGTCCATCTGTGACACAGCTACGTTTCTTTTTTTCAGTCTATGGAATATGATTATTTCTCCCTGTCTCCCCCTTTTTATTTACTGTCTTAGTAAATGTTGTCCCTTCTTTCTAATAGAATTTATTATGTATCTTGACCTTTACCTTCTTACCTGCTTTCCAATGTATTAAGACAGGGAGTAAAAAAATAATTTTATATATAAGGGAAAGGGTTACGTGTGAGGGATTTTTATAAAAATTAATATACATGGCATAACTTATTTGAATAATTAGAGCCCTCCTACTAGCTACTTAGTCAACTTGACTCCCAAGGGAATGAATACAAATAGACATTCTTTGTGCAAACAAAGGTCTCTGAGAAGAATGGAATACTCTTTCAGTAATGAGTAGATTTGCCCTGTGTATTAGAAGGAGACAGACTGATCTCATTAGCACATCAAATGAATTATGTGTACAATTGTGCATATGGTATATTTCTGTACTTCTCTTTAAATTCTAGTATGGTGGTCCCAGAAACCAGTGGGATAATACACAGACTATACTGGCCACTGAAATGGCTTTGGTGAGGTACTATCTTCAGATAGTCTAGAAGGTGACCTTTTGATGGACCCACTAATTTCAACATATGAATATCATAGTCTAGTTCCTACAGTATAAAAATTGGGTCAGAATGATGCTTTTTTTCTTTCCCAAGTAAAACTGCTTTATTTTCAGCATTTTTATTCATAAGTATAAGAAAACAGAAACTACAGGCAGATAATTTTTTATGTGTCCATAGAATTCTTCTCTGGAACCAATAAGAGTTTGGGTATATTTAAACTTCTGAATATTCTATATATGCTTTAAAATACAAAAGAGTAAATAAATGAAAAAATATAAAAGTGTTTTAAAGGATTTGGTTTGTAGTCATATATGACACCTCCGGGATCCTACTATACGGAAAGAACAGATTAAACAATATATTAACAATAAAACATTAAAGGTTGCTTTGCTAACAGAACCTTTGGGTTTTTAACCTTTCAGAGGTGTCAATGTCTTCTTTGATCAACTCAACTAACTTCAAAAGGAAACCACAGTCCAGCCTCAGCTTCCATAAAAACATACCATTTTAAAAGACATCTACTAAATGGTGGTCTCATTCCATATTGCATCATGTGTGTTGGTATTTGGAAATGTATTCTAAGACGACATATTATTTCAAAGACATACATTTCAAACAATGTGTGCAATGTTAAAATAATTTCATTGTAAGTCTGGACAAATTTCAGTGCAATTACAGTAAACACTGTTAAAACTACCATATTTTAGCTGTTATTACTGACTTTTTTACAGATATATAAAACAGGATTGATAAATTTAGCTATTTTAAATCGTACTTACTAGGCATTTAGTATAACATCATCTCTGTAGTTTTGACTTAACACAAAAACAGGAACTACTTTGAACTAAGCTGCATTTTTTTCTAAAGGCTACTTTGTTAGAATGAGATGTTATGGAACGGACTCTATATAATTTAAAAACCTTTAGAGTACAGTTTACCTTATGCTTCCTTCAGAGTGCATTTTCCCCTTTCAAAAGTCTGGATTCTTTTATTTTGCCAACACCATTAGTACAAAAGTGGTATCTCTGTCCTAGATCTTATATAATACATTTTTAAGAATTCCAATAGCAGTTTACAATGTGAGGAATAGGAAAATTCTCTATATTGCTGATAGAAAAATCCTGTATATTTTTGTATGTTTTATGTTGTTAGTAGAAATATGTTTGTATTAACATTAAACTTTTTAAAAAATATATCATATCCAGGCCAAAACCGACTTGCTAGGATAACATGCTCCAACACCTAACACAAAGCACTGTCTTTCAAACAACTGGCAAGAAACCAAGATTCAAAACGTAGTTTTTCAGTGCCAGCACATGCAATATGTGACATACAAGCATCGAACATTACTACTTCAAATAAACAGAACAGAGGAAGAATGATGCTTTGTTAACTCATCAAATGGCAACTTAACACAAAAGGACAGATGCATAAGACAATAATCCCTCCTACCTTGTTGAAGGCTGAGAAGAATGACTTATAGAGGCAAGATGAGAGTTTAATTCTTAATTTCTTTTTTCTTGAACTTCCAATATAGTTAACGAACATACCATACAAAATACACAAGAATTTACATGGTAAAGGTTATTAAATTTCAAAAGCAGCCCAGTGATTGTTTTTAATGATTATATTTGCACTTGTACTATATATAAACGTTACAATATTAAATGAACTAAAACAAAGACAAAAACCCTAATGGGATTAAATTACACTAATAAATTTTACTTTCAAGGCTGAAGTGCAATCACTGACCATTTCCTCTTGAATTATGCATTATATAAAAACAGCAATACATAGGGTATGAGGTTGATACAGAGAGACCTAAAATATCTAAGTAACTTTACCATTTGGTTGCCTATTTGGATAATCCATCGTTTTTTAGGCCTAGTTACAGAAATAAATGTACATACCCTGGTCTAACACTTCTTCTTCCTGTTTCGGCTGCTGTAGTAAAGCAGTCTTCTCTTTGTTCTCTGTTTCTGTAAAGGATCAAAGAAGCTGAGCATAAATTTGAAGTATATATCACACACTTTAAATATTTTATTGGAAATATGCCATCTACAGAAAAATATTATTCAGGGCCTTGTTTTTATTACAGTATTAAGAATTTATACAGTAGAGATGCTCTAATTCACAATGTCTCCCACCCCCAGCATGACCACCAATTACCAGACTTCTGACTAACAACTAGGTCAACTCCCCATTCAGTAATATATAAATGATATAGAATTTTAAAAATGCATTAACAAAACTACTCATATTTGTCTTCTAAAATTGAATTTGGTAATAGTTTAAGGATATTTTAAGACCATTTTAAGGCATATTCTATAAATATATTGGATCTTAATAAATGACCTGACATGTCTTATAAAATATCCACTAGAAAGAAAACAGGAAGCTGCTCTGGTGTTTTAACACTGAGCTTGCAAAACTCAATAAAGCCTCAGCATACTTAACGCAATAAAACAGGGTGTGGGTTTTGCACTAAAGGAATGACAGTCAATATGACCATTTTGAAGACGAATAATAAGTTAAAGAACAATTCTGAGAATGAGACCAAAAAAGCCAAGACTAGTAATGCCTCACAAATCAAAAATTGTTCTTTGTGTGAAGAGGCCCATTAAGCAGATAATTTAGGGTATGGTTAGAGATGATAACCATTTTTATTGGCAAACTGTAGCACTCTTTAGAGCATGGTGCATAAATTCACAAATTGTGTAAGTCATTGCTAGTTATGGGAAGAATGAGATATGGAAATGAGAAAATATGATTTAAAAGAAGAAAAAGAAAGGTCTACATTTATGATGTTGATCCCAAAACTAATCTGTTTCATCACTGGTTGAGATTTTTCTCTTTAACTTTTTTGATGGGGACATGTCAGGGAGGGAGATAGGATATGAAAGAGAAAAGAGGGAATAAGAATATGTGTGCACATGTGACTGTAAAGAATAAAGATGATTTAAAATATTAATCATATAGTCAAGAGGGAAGCATGAGAAAACATAAAATACAAAATCACATGTTACTTTATATTAAGCAATGATTTTACCTTCGTGATGTCCATGCATCATAACCATGTCAGACTTCACAGGAATTGGAATATTGGCCTCTGGTGGTATGATTCTGAACATATCTGGAGCTACATTCTGTGTACAGGTCATGAAAGAAACTGCATGCTTGGCTTCCATGTAATACATAATGTATAAGTTGCACATTTCATCAGTAGATGTGCCACTGCAGACAAAAAATAAAGAAAAAGGAAAAGAGAGACAACAAATCAGCCATTCATACAAAACATATTCTTAATACAAGAAAATGCAACCTGTAAATCTGCCAGCAATGGATTCAAAGGTGGAAATATTGCACATTTATTTTATAGCTTTCATTAAAGCTTATCTCAGTTTTCAACATCAAATGCACATTGTCAAAGGCATATTTCCACGTAACAATGGATTATCAGTTTGCTGTCATTTCACAGATATCACCAAATACGGCAGATGGAAATGGCATTTATATAGCTGAGAGATACAGTCTTTTCTCTCCTAAATCCTTTTACTCTTTAGTCCTCCTCCCACTTGCTAAAACTTAGACTGAGCAAAGTTACTTTCTTCATAGAAAATCTTAATTATTTACTTAATAATGGTAAAATTCAGAACACTTCAACAGACTTCTACATTTATCATTTATAAATCTTTAAAAATGGCTTTTCCACTTAACACCAAGAGTCATGGACCTTGTTTTTTGGCCTCCTTTCTCATGGCCAGATGAATTTAGAAACGTGTCCACAAGAACACATCCTAAGTGTATCCCTGATATGTGACTTGGCAACTAGAATTCTAGAGCAGGAAAGAAAACATTTGAAATGTTTTCATTTCAAAATGAAAACAGCACTAATCTCTTCCAAGGACTCAGACCTGATTGGGGTAGTGCTGTATAATTGAATGACTTGATGTTAAAAATAGATTTTAAAACTGTGAAATGGATATTTCCAAGAAAAAGTTCCAAATGATAGAAATAATGTCTAATAGTTTGCAAAACATCTTTTCTTCTTCCTCAGTTCACAAGGGTTATTACATATTTCATTCTGTTTACTATTATTAGTTAAGAATTGTTTAGGTACACTTTTCTAAGACTTTTATATAGCAAAGCCTACACTAATAAAAAATAAACTATGAGGAAGATTATTTGCTGTACAGAAATACGCCAGTGTTGATTTTTCCAGCGAAGTCATGAGGCACTCACTTCCTCTCCATAGCAACAGTAATGACATCAGCAAAGGAAGGAAGGAAATAAAAATCTTTTCCATACAGGCATTTGATTTCTCTAAGCTTTGAAAATGTAGAGTCCCCGAGAGACCACAGGAATGAGTAACTACCATGGGAAGCTCTGATTATGCTTTAGAAATTATTTGGCTTCTCACTCTCTGCATCTGATACCTGTCAGTATAATTGCTTCTCCTGTGAAATATAAGCAAAGAGTGAAGTGCAAACCCAAATAAACACCTGCTCACTACATGTATCTTCACAGTGTCAAAACACAATTGCTAAGAATTACATTTTAACAGTCTTGGCATTGGTCAGAAAACTACGGGCTATAAATAGGAATAGCTGGTGCCAAAATAATAAGATGCAGCCTCTCACCATATTATACATCCCCTCCCTGTACAAAATGAGAAGTATGTGTACAGCAAGAGAGGAAGGAGGGAAAGGAATTTAAGATGTGGCTCTAGCTTAGAAAACCTTCAATCATCTTGCTGTTAAGGAAAAGCAAAATAATCATGTAAGCATTTCAAATCGATAAAAGGAAAAAAACTTAATAAATTCATATAATAATGAATGAAACTGGCAACTAATCCACGGACAGGTCCTTCCATATTTTGTCTGTTTGGGAACATCAATGACCATACTTTCATGGGGAAGGTATACCCACCACAACACACGTGCAATACATCCAGTATCCTGAACTCTTCCCTTATAATTAAACTGAATGAAGTAACTGTAACTGCTGGTCTAAATGCTGTTGGTTCCCTGGGCCAATGTGTCCTTTGTTGCATAAATAAAAATATCTTATTCTGTGAGTTATTATATTTTTTATGAAGTATTTAGAAAGAGAATATTAGAATTCTTTCACTCTTCCTAATTTTCTTCTAGAGTAGTATTTCCAAAACTATTACCATAAAACTTTGGTCCTTAAAATGCTTACAGATGAGTTGAGGAAAAGTTATAGAAATGGTTCATATAGAAATGGTTCACAAAAGTTAAACAGATTCTGTACTGTGAGAGCCTTTAACATACAATGTGCTCAGGAAATTCTATGGGGAGAGGGGATACAAGAGGCACTACCCCCAAGTGAATTTGACCAGGCTCCTTTGTGTTGCTGCATCTTCCAGGACATAACTTAAGAAAAGTTGTACTATGATATTTACAACTTGCTCTTACATGTATAGAAACATAATTCTAGTATTGATTAGGAATAACCAATCAAAAGGGTTTCTCCTATAGAGTAGTTGTAGACATGTGTGAAAATCTATTACTTTTAGATAACACCAATCACAATATAGGTATGTGCATGTAGCATAGATATACAAATGTATATACAGATATGCATACAGATGTGTATCTAGAAATGTTTTATAAAATGTTTTGCATATATACAGACATACCTAGTACCTATTTGTATTATTTCTATCCATCCATATAAACATAGTTTAAATTTTCAGGAGAATCTATCTACTGGGGATTTGAGAAGCAATGAATACCGCAAAAATCTCAAAATAACTAAAATAGAATATCTTGATTATATATTCCCCCAAATATAATTTTGGTGCTTCTAAACTTGTTACATGTGTATTTGGAGGACTTGTTTTTAATATGCATTTGAAAAGAAATTGCGCTAAAAGTAAAAAGAGTTCATTTCAAACAAGTAAAAGGTAATTTATCTGGGAACAAGGAACTAAACTGTGAAATGGGTACTAAGAGGAATAATCAACAAGAATTTGCTCATACAAAATTGAATTCATTGCTATCATCACCAAAACAGTAAGTTAAAAAAACCAGGCAAATTATAGACAGTGATAATGGGGAAGAATATGAAATAAAAAGGTATCATATTTGGAATAGTTTTTATACTAATATTGGAGACAAAGTTTGCAATTGCTATCTTAGAAATAGTGTGTAGCAAGATACAAGGTGAGGCTGGCTGGTTAGCTCAGTTGGTTAGTGCACAGCCTTCTAAACACCAATGTCATGGGTTTGGATACCTGTACCATCCAGCCACTGGAATAAAAAAAAAAAAAGCAATAACTTATTAGGCACTGGACAATTAGCTCACTTGGGAGAGCATGGTGTGGGTAACACCAAGGTCATGGGTTTGAATCCCCACACCTGCCAGCTGCCAAATTAAAAAAAAAAAGAAACAAAGTTACATGTTCCAAAAACACGCACACAGTTAAGTATAGCAAATAAAGGAAAATCACTCTTTTTTTTTTTTTTTTCCCTTTTTGTCTTTTTTTTGTGTCCGGCAACGGATCGCAACCCTCAGTGTCATGCCCGAACCGGACCGGGACCGGCAACGGGATCACAACCCTCGGTGTTGCTCCCTCATCTCGCTCAGCCAGTGAGTGGGAACTGGTCTGTATGTGGGATCCGAACCCTGGGTGGGAGCGCGGAAAGTGGCGCACTGTAGCAGTGCGCCACCAGGCCGGCCCAGAAAATCACTCTTTCTAAATAATGTAACTCATTGTCCTTTGTAACTTATGATCAAACTATTATTTTAATTAATGAATTTGAGGAAATAAAAAAGTAAAAATATAAGCTAATATTGCATTATTTCCTCAAAAATGAATTATCTTTCCATGTATTGACTTAGCTTTTGAGAAAAATTATACATGTATATGTAAAATTATACATATATGTATGTACACACATCCACACATATGTATATACACCATACACTAATTATACTTGTATATGTTCCATGTTAATTTTATATATACATAAATGTGTTCATCTCTAAACATGTGATTTCGTGAAACATCCTAATCAACTCACCAATACAGTTCATTTGAGGTACCAAATCTATGTTACAAAATTGAGTTGATCAAATAATTTTAGATTCTACAGGGTCACAAGGGAAATTTCATTAAAAGAGCTGAATAAAAAGAAAAGAGACATACTTTATTCCCTTCCATCTATAATTGGACTTGTAGTCAAGGTAACTCTGAGCTCCTATCAGACAAACTATCATATGCTAAAAACGTTAGGTTTCAAATCATCCTTAGTGTCAGCATCTCACTTTGCCTATTGATCCATCTTTTCTTTCACTCAAAAAAAAGTCACATTTTAAACCAGACAAATTACTTTCAGTATTCCTAAGGGAGGATTTTGACACATTTACCCCTATTTTCCATAGAGACCAATTCAACTAAGCAATTCAACTCTGCTAATCTGAATGATTATTAACATAAGAGAGCAGGGAGGGAGGGTGTGTTCACGTGTGCGCCCTGGCTCCATGAATGCCCTTTAAACATTACCCCACACTAATATGATTCCCTAAAATGATGACTGCTGGTATGATCTATATTCTAAAATTACAGTAGTGCATTTTTACATCCTCTTGCATAATAAAGTACTTATGATAACTTCTTTTATACTGACATACTTAATATGTGTGTGGTGAGATACAAAATAGTAAGTCTACAATAAAAATTTGTTGAATTAAGGAAGAATGAATAATCTTGCTTAATAAATGTTTACAACTTATTATGACATAATGTGTTCACTCTGTCATACTGCTGAATAATGTTATATGTTAGAAAGACTATAGAGATTTGAGAAACTACCAAGTATTCTGAAATGTATCATTTTAAAAAATCCAAATATTGTACACATTGACTATGCTGCAGAAAATGATACTCCACTGGCTTAATGATTCCTGCATACCTACCTCTTGTCCCTTATATTTGACAGATGCTAGTCTTGAAAATAACCAAAGTGGGTAACACTAATTCTGGAAAGAAATATGAAAACTTTAAAGAAGTTATTTTACAAAACTTTTAATTGTTTCTTAAAAGGCTTCAAGGTACTTTGTAGAACAGTGGTTATCAGATACCGGAGAGGGAAGGGGCAAGGGTGGACAGGGAGAGATTGGTCAACAGGTACAAAGTTACAGTTAGACAGGAGGAATAAGTTCTGGCGTTGTATTGCACAGTAGAGTGTCTATGGTTAACAATACTG